CGTTGACTAAAGCCAGCCCAGCAGTGCGGTCACATTGATGCCTGGTGTTTTCCAACACCAACGTATTTGGCGGCAAAAAATGGGTGGTTTAAATTTATTTTATTATACAGTATTATTAATGAGCAGTAATGGCGGCAAGTAATTGCCTCGCTTGCTGGTCAGTTGGATTCAGCCGAATGGCTCGCTGCACCAGCTTCAGGGAGCAGGTCCTGTCCACTGGACTCACCGCCTGGCTGGCATAGATGGTCGTCTGCGCCTCCTCGCTGGCCAAGATACTAAAAACAAAATCAGTTCAAATAATAAATATTTGTTTGGCAACCCTAGAATCTTACCCGTTCTGCAGATTGGTGTGGCCCAGGGTAAGAGCTATTAGAGCGATATTTGCTGTGGCCAGTTGGTAGGTTTGGTCCTCATGGAAGTAGTCAAGAAGGAACTTGAGCAAGACCTTCCGAAGACCGGCGGAGTGGGGAAACATTCGAACTCGCGTCTGTAAAAAGCACAACGCCTTGTGGACACCCTCCTAAAACAATCAATGCATCGTTAATTTAAAACCAACGCAATAAACACTTCCAACACACATTTATGAGGATGTAGTACGACGTTAGGTAGGATACTTCCGTACAATACTCCTCCTTGAAAGCGTACGCACTCAACTCCGTCATTATGGTTCGGCTAAGCTCATTATCCTTATGAATTATGCCCAAGGCAAAGGCCGAGTACAAGGCCTGAATGGGAACTTCCTTCAGCAGGACGCTTTTGAAAGTATATCGTTAACAAATTGTTATCAACTAAATCAGTATTCCGCTACCAACCACTGATAGAGTAGCGTTTTGGTGTCCGCTTCGCCCTGGTAGGCATAGATCATGGAGGCCATAGCCACCAGGATGGTAGCCGCTTTGTCATCGTCATGGCCAACAACGTTGCTCAAAACAGAGTTATAGATCGAATAGGATTCCTGCAGCTGACCGGATCGGTAATATGCCTGAGCCAGACCAATAATAGGCTTAAACGAGGCATGCGCCACCGTGTTTAGGGCGTTGGCCGCCTGCTCCGGCTGGTCAAGCTTCAGGTAAAGGTACCCCAGATTGGTGTACAGCTTGTCTCGATCCGCTCCGGGCTCGCATAGCTTACAGGCGCGGGTAAAGGCTTCCACCGCTTGACGATAGAGCTTTTTCCGGGCGTACAGGAATCCCTGGAACGACAGCGATGCGATGCTAGCATCGGTCTCCTCATTTTGCACGTACCTAAAAAGTATTGTAGAGGTTTTAGATAGTTTTACAATATAGGAAGAATATACCTAGAGGTGTACATTAATACTGACCAGTTAATAGCATCCAGAGCATAGACATCCGCGTACATGTGCTCGATGGCATGCCTAATGTGCGGCTTGTTCCGCGAGCCCGGATCCGACAGCATTTCGCACACCCAGTGAGTGAATCCCAGCGCCGCCTCCGGATGGTAATCGAACTGCTGGCAATGACGGAACAGGTCAAAGGCTTCCTCTCGATCACCAATTGTCTCCGCCACCATGGCCTGGCCTATCCAAGCGTTGGCGTAGACGGGACTCGATTGTTGAGCTCGCGTGAAGGCCTCGTTGGCCAGCCGGACTTCGTTCAATTTGATATAGAGCACCCCGAGATTGGTCCAGGCCGTGAAACACTTTCTTTCCAGCTCAACAGCCTGAATTAAGCAGTGCTGAGCCAACGGCAAGTTCTCGTACTCTGACTGCATGTTGATCACCCCGAGCAGATTCCAGTTCTGCCAACGATTGCCTCGCTCCTTGATGGCCATCTTGCACACCCTGGCCGCCGTCTCAAGGTGGCTTTTGGCCTCCTCGGGAATGTAGATGGCACTGTAGTAGCTGGCCAGCGACAACTCGTACCACAGGTAGGTATTCTGCTTCAGCTTCAAAGCGCACAAATAGAAACGCTGGGCAAGCTGCAAGAGATCCTTGCGCGACAGATACGCAATGGCTTCATCACGCTTGGCCAGACTGCCGGCCACATCCAGATTGGCCAACGAGGGCGGCAGCTGGGCCGTCTGGACGAACACACTGGCCGAGAGGCGCCACAGCCAAACCATGCCCTGAGCCTCCGGTTGAAGGAAGGCGCTAGAAAGGAAAACAGTTTGAAAACTAAATACTAGGATATAAGATGTCCTTCTTACCTCTGAAGGTGTCCCACAGCTAACTGGAAATGCTCCTTGCACCTGCCATACAGATTCTGGTTCCTCAGACTATTCGCCATGCCAATATGCGCCTCAGCGGCTCCTCGAAGTCCAGGCAGGTAACTGGGATTTAGCTTCAACAGCACATCGTAATCCTCAATAGCTTCGGTGTACATTCGAATCGTCTATTAAGTATGGTAAACATTCTTTCTATTAAGTTGTAAGTTGGATTTTGGATCTTCGCACCGTTTTAATGGAGGCTATCTGAAGCAGGGCGTAGCTATTATCCGGGGACAGTTCAAGGATCTTCTGGAAGACCCGAATTGCCGAGTTGTAGGAACCACGGGCCGCATAAGCATCGCCCAATGACTCCCAGTAGACCATGCAGCGTGAGTCGTGTTTAATGGCAATGCGAAAGCATTGGATTGCCTGTTAAAAAGAGTTTTTAAGAGGACATTCCATAAATCATATGTCACTTACATTGTCCCACTTCTTCACTTGCTGGAAATGCAGTCCCAGCTTGTACTGCAGGCGGACTGACTCGTCGCTGCCCAGGTGCCGCAAAGTGTTAAGCAGCAGCGTTTCGTTCAACTCCTCTTCGCCCAATTCCTGGTAGATAAAGCTCAGGGCATTCACAGCATCCTCAGCCAGTCCATTGAGACTGATACACTTCTCGAAGCACTTGCGAGCACGCGCCAAATCCCCAGTGGCCAGCGGATATAGCCTGCCCAGGTAGTCAAAGCACTCGGCAAAGTGAGGACGCAGTCGCGTGGCCTTCAATATACTGTTCAGGGCGTCGGAGTAGTTATTTAATGACATGTGCAGCTTGCCACTAAGCAGATGAGCCTCAAATGACTCTTGGTTACCAATTTTTTGAAGACCCTCAGCTGGCGATCTGGTAGTTATAAACACAAGGATGGGTTTGAGCTTTCATTAAACTTGTGGCGTTACTTACAAGAGAAATTCTGCCTTGGAGAGATCATCTAAGGGCAACTCTTTCAGCTGCTGCAGTTCACCCAGCTTGAAGTAGCAGCTGTGAAATAACAAATTTGTTTTAAAAACAACATGATTATATCTTTTTGATAGCTCACCGAGCCAAAGCCTTAGTACTGCCTTCCGAGTTTTTCAACGTTTGCAAAATCTTGACTGCTTCTCTTAGTTTGGAAGGATCTTTTTCGTGGGATAAACACAGAGCGTAGGCTTCGCTTTCCTGATCTATCTGCTGCCACAGCTGAAGGGCCAGTTTATACGCTCCTAGCTCTGTGTGGATTCGAGCCAGCAGCTCTAGCGTAACTTTGTACGCGGGATGACTTTGCTGCGCCTGCAGCGCCAACTGCCTGGCTGCGACAAACTGTCCTTCAGCATAAAGATCCACTGCCTTGATCAACAGGGCCAAGTTGGAGTTCGGGTTGAGTTCCAGCAGCTGCTCAGCGTACACCTGAATGGGATGCCTCAGCTCCTGTTGCCAGGGACCTTTGTCATGTTGATCGTGGTTTTCGCAGTAGGTCTTGCATATCCACTCGTACCCATATACATCCCTGGAATGCGATTGGGTCATGTTGCAGGCGTGCCGCACACACGACACGAAGTCCTTTTCCTTGTAGAGCCACTTCAGGTAGCGTTTGTAGACGACACTCTTGGCATTTGGATCTGAGGTCTCAAGCAGAGCTTCCATTGTTTTGTTGTACTAGGGGTAAGTGGAATTAGACGTTATTCATTGGCTTATGCTAGGGTTACTTACAAGTTGAGTATCCTCTGGGCTAACTTCGAAATCGTTTGCGAACCAAATGCGTCCCAGGTATTCCTGAATTTTGGCATAATTCTTATCCTCTAGGTTCTTAACTCTCTTTTTCAGTACTGCAAAGCAAGCAGGAGCCGCCCCGGAATCCGAGGCCAAGTTAAAAAGCTTGTCCCAATAGTCCAAGGCTTGTTCTCTAAAAGTCAAGAGTTAAGATCAGGTGTGAACAATTAAAGGTTGGCTTAAAGTTACTAAAGTACATCAAAGCTACAATATCCCACTTCGTGATAATTAGAAGATACGATCGATATCAAAATTACATTACGAACCACTTTTATTGAAATTACAAATATATAAGCTTTTCCACCCGACTTAGTTAAACCCTACTTTCCTAAGTTATGGATTATACATGTATAAAAAGTTAGGATTGTTATTATCAATCGATTATAGCGAAATTTATCAACCCCAGAAGAATATCTCCTCTAAATCACATTATGATCTCTTAAGGATCATTTACTTTGGATTATATTATTATGGTTAACAAAGTAAAACCGTGGTTCCTGTGCTTCTTATATGGAACCTAATATGTGGTCTCAAAATATATACATTTAAGATTATTTCGTTAAATAGGACTGTTAAGATACCACCATTTTCCTTACGGTTGCAGATCCGCCAGCTGATCGTAGATCTCCGGCAGCTCGTTGCTGGGCGCACAGTTGGCCAGCCCGAGGAGGGCGGCGGTGGGCGGTCCCTCTGTGAACTCGATGCAGTGCCTCAGGTTCTTGGCCGCCTCCGCCTTGTCCAGATTCTGGTAGGCTGCTCCGAGCAACAAGTAGCCCATGGCATTCTTGGGCTCCGATTTCAACAGGCGCTGCAATGAATGTCATTAGGATAATGCGCAATTGGGATATCCGGCAACGTTGACGCCACCTGGCACTTGGGTATGGCCTCCGCATGTTTGCCCAGCTTGATTGTCTCCCTGATGTCCTTGATCAAGGCTTTTGTCTCTTTTCCGGCGCTCATTGTAAATAAAAATGTTTACGTATTTTTATGATATCGATAAATATTTCCTGTGGCAACCAGTGCTGGGTAACTTGATTTGTGAGAATAGCTAGTGTTGGTCAATGCTGAAAGGGCGCAACAGATGGTTTGGCTCACAATAAATTGTGAAATTTTAATATAAAATGCCCATAAACTGCAAGTCCCAGTGCGGGAATCGCGCTACGTTAAAGGTAAGACTGCAGACCATTAATCCGAGAGACATCCCATTAACCATGTTCTCCCCAAAGCGCCCCAAAACCGGCGATGCCCTGTGCAAGGAGTGCTTCTTTGCTGCTTTCGAGGCGGAGATTCATCACACAATCTCTTCCAGCAACTTGTTCCGGCGTGGCGAGAAGGTGGCCGTGGCGGCCAGTGGAGGCAAGGACTCCACGGTCCTGGCTCATGTGTAAGTTTTAGCTTTCACTCCCATCTCGCCTTTCTAATCCCTACAATCCTTTCCAGCTTGAAACTGCTGAATGAACGCCACGATTATGGCCTGGAACTGGTGCTTCTTTCCATAGACGAGGGCATTACTGGCTATCGGGACGACAGCTTGGAGACTGTCAAGCAAAACCGCGATGACTACCAGATGCCCCTGAAAATTCTGTCTTACGAGGAACTCTACGGCTGGACCATGGACCGCATTGTGGGCCAGATCGGACGTTCCAACAACTGCACCTTTTGCGGGGTCTTTCGACGACAGGCCCTGGACCGAGGGGCCAAGCTGCTGGGCGTGGACAGCATAGCCACGGGCCACAATGCCGATGACATTGCGGAGACTGTTCTGATGAACGTGCTCCGTGGGGACACAGCTCGCCTGCGGCGCTGCACGGACATACGGACCGGCGGCGGCGAGGATTCCATTCCCCGCGTGAAGCCCCTGAAGTACAGCTACGAGAAGGAGATCGTGATGTATGCCCACTACAAGAAGCTCGTCTACTTCTCCACCGAGTGCGTGTTTGCCCCCAATGCGTATCGCGGCCATGCCAGGGCCTTCCTCAAGGATCTGGAGAAGGTGCGACCTTCGGTTATTATGGACATTATCTACTCCGGCGAACAGCTGCGGTTCAAGGACACCGTGAAGAAGCCAGTGCGCGGCATTTGCACTCGATGTGGCTTCGTCTCCTCGCAGCAGCCATGCAAGGCATGCGTTCTCCTCGAGGGTCTGAACAGAGGATTGCCCAAGCTGGGCATAGGCAAAAAGTCCAAGGGCGAGCGCATGATTGCCAAGCAGGACCAGGAACTAGCCCTTCGAGAGCGTGCAAATTTAGTAAAAAACGATTTTTAACATTTCAAAATGAGATTTTTATTCAATGTGTGGCTTAACAAGTTTTTGTTTGTTCTTCTGCCAAGGAGCCAAATCTGAAAAGATAGAAAGTTAAGATTAGTTACTTTGCCCAGATCAATGATAAATTCAAAGAAATATGTTATGAAGCTCAGTGCCAAGTTTTTAACCAGGGCCCATAACCAGCCAGACATGACTCCCTATCTCCAAAAAAATATTGGAGGAGTTTGTCAGCGCCTAACCTTTATATGGTGTCTGTGAATGGTTTAAGTGATCATCATTGAAGTCTTCATATTGATTTAAGAAAATGTTTTCAATACTAACCTTGGTGGATATTAATTTGAGTAAATCAGGCATATAAAGAATCATCCGATTCGGAAAACCTGTAAAAACAAAAGGAAAAATATATTAGTTAAAGCAACAGAAAACGTAAATTTATATTAGTTTGAAAATCATCAGTTAATTATATTAAAAAATTTGAATCACAACGGTTCATTAGAGATGTCAGAAAATTATAAAGCATCATTGAATAATTTGTTTTAAAAAATTATTTAAAATTACCTTTTTAGTAGATTGGTCTTCAGTTGGGCATCGAGTAAGGAAATCCAGTTCGTCTTTCTCTCATCTGCAAAAGGAATATATTGATTAATTAGGAAAGCCAATACGAACTATTTTACAAAAATAAAATTAATAATTAAAATACGATATCAGTTAAAACTTGTATAGCATCAATACATTTTTCAGTCGAAAGATGGTGTAAGTTTCGTTCATCAGAACTCATTTTTATAACTACTTAGTGATTTTAGGTTTAATATTTTTAGATGTCTGAGAATTTAAACTGCAAAGGGATTTATTACATTTTATATAAATTACCTTTTAATTTGTTTTTCCAAGTTTGTCATAGGATGATTAAATCCAGCATACTTTTAATGACTGCAAAGAGAGAAAAATAGGTTTTTGAAAAACTAGAACCATTTTAAAAGGAATGTTTATGAGGAGGTTAAAAGTCAGTTAAAACTTGTATAGCATCAATACTTTTTTCAGTCGAAAGATGGTGTAAGTTTCATTCATCAGGAAAATTTTTTAAAGGTTTTTTTTTAATGATTTGAAATGGACTTTAACATTATAAACTGGAAGATAAATTACCATTTCAATAAGTGGACCAAGAAGCCTCCATTTCAGCTATTATAATTGACCAAAGCTCTGGAAAACCGATCTGCAAATAATGAAAAAGTTGACATAAGTAATGGCTTATAAATATAAAATTACTTCTTTTTGTTGGATAACTTCAGAATTAGTTATAACTGATTTGAATCACAACGGTTCATAAGAGATGTCAGAAAATAGAATAATAAATCATCATAGAACGACGAAAGCTAAGCAAAGGACTTAAAAGGATGCTTACCATTAAAGATCAAAATCTTTGGCCCGGAAGCACGTGTTGAATTTCAACTCCATTTTGTTTCTGTAAAAAGAATATTTTGACTTAGTAAAGTTCCGAGTACTTTGTACATATAATTTATTTTTAGAAAAAGAAAATGTCGGCTTTACGAAAAAAATATGCACCGCAAATTCGGGTATGATAAATTTGGGTTATGCTTGGGCAAAGTACATTTTATCTGCGAACAAGTAAAAAGCACTAGCTAAAGTTGAGTTTCTTTACACCAGCGACTCGTGTTCGCATAAAAGATGTTTTAAATTTTAGATCTTTTAACTTACCAAGTCACATCTGCCAGCGATTGAACGCAGCACCCCATAATTGTTGGTTCACCTGCAATATAAGCAAATGCATCATTAGATATGATTTAGATTTACTTTGAAATTTGTTGAGATTACAAAGGATTCTAGACCACGTGACTGCAATTTGAGTTGCAACCGGTAAAGTGCATTTCCTTGTATTTCTTAAATTAATCTTGCAACATTGAGTTCTGCAAACAAGCTAATCGAACTCCATTCGCAGTTATATTCGCTGCAATCTTGGCTAAATTATTTAGCTGAATTACTTACATCTTTTTAAGTTTCTTAGAGCGAAGCGGTTCGTTCTGTTCCACGTTTCCAAAAAAGTGAAGTGAGTGAAGTTGGCTGCGTTTCGAGCTAGGAACGAGAAAAATAAAAATAAAAATGTATCGATAAATATTTTTTATCAAAGAATATATATCGATATGTTTTAAAAGTGAATAAATATTATTTTACACGGTGATAATATTTAGGATATTCCCTGAACTGTTAAATTGCTGAATCAATCAATTTTGATCAAGTGTTTGGCAGATTTTCTAAATAAATTTAATTCACAGAAATGTGTGCCGTTCATTTATTTCTAGGTCTATTTTTTAAGCTATCTTTAAGTTTAAAACTATAACCAGCTTGTGACTAAGATGTTTTTTATTTCTAATAGAGCTTTTTGAAGGAAGGAGACGATTATGTACTTTTTACGTTAAAAAATGTTTACTGCAAGTCGTTAATTACGTACAATTTACAGACTCAAAAGCTGAAAAGATTTCTGAATTCAAACATACAAAAATCAGAAGACTGGCAGTGTTGGTAAACAGCTCTGCTTGATATCGCCTATAGCTATTCGATAGTTGGAATCGCAACTCTGCGAGCGGGACGATTCTAACTGTTTTTCTGGCCGAACCGACGCGGCTCCAAGCTTTTCGCGTGAATTGTTTTCGTGTTTCAGGCTTAATTCGGGTGGGAAAACGCAAAATGACTGATTTCAATGCTTCCGCAGCGATGTTGCCTTTGGGTGCGTATTAGTTGTAGATCCATGCCCATTTTCCATAGTTAACTAAGTTGATTTATGATCCCACAGATGAGTACTACGAGCATTGCGTAGTACCGAAACCAAAGGTACCACCCCGGTATACCAGTCATCCGGTCCCAAAGAGAAGCAAACGTCAGGCGGGGCGCTTGCGATCGTACAAGGAGGCGGGTCAAGATGATGAGGACGAAGATGAGGAAGACGATTTCGAAAGCTCCGAACTGGAGACCAACTGCCAAGATGATGGCGACACTATAGGTCAGATGAGCTTCGAGATGAACGACTTCAACAAGATGTACTCGGAGGAAGAGTCCCTCCACCCGGAACTCTCACAGAGCTCCGCTCAGTGGCGCATTCACGGCAACAATCTCAACCGGCCAGCGGGATCCGCTCCGCTGGTTCCTAACGAGCAGGCACGTGGCCACGTCAAGTCGCGTCTTGACCTTCGTGATGAGTCTCGCGTCTGGAATGTCAACAACAACCAGAGACGCAATCAAAACAACTTCCATCGCCGCCAGCAGAACGGCCAGGAACAGCGCCTGCGCACCGCCTACAACACCTTCAGCAGCCAATCTAATCATTCCAAGCAGCCATCTGACGTACTAATGAATATACAAAACAATTTTCAAAATCATCAACAGGGAGCCAGCGATCTGATGGGCCACTATGGCCAGTATGATTCGGCCAACTCAACTTCGATCACCTCTCTCATCGATTCGGTGTCCCATATTCCGGATAATCGTGTCAGGAATCGTTTGGGCTGTCAAACCATTACGCACGCGCCGAACGCCTTTAACCGATTCTCGGAGCCGAGCACGGTCGTCCCCACCACGGTTGATTTAGACGGTGATAATTTGAGTAAAATGGCCCACAACGTGCTGCTTTTGCTCAGGAGCGCAGCCCAAAAAACCCAACGGCCTTCCTTCTAATTTTTCCAGGTAATTTTGTTTAGGAGATCCTAAACTTTTAAGTCGGGTAGTAAAACATCCTTATACAATTTTTTACTATATTAGTTATGTTAGGTTTTTATAACTAAATACGTTACCTAAAAGCATCGGTCGCTTTAACAGCTTTTTTAAAACTACAATAATTATTTGCTTATTTCAGAACATCTTGATGAACGGGCGAGAGAAAGAGGAGGCCCAAAGTGATGCTATGCCGGAACTGGCTGGACAGTACCAGCAGCACCACCAGACAACTTACTGCAAGTTAGATTTAGAGAGCAGACCTATAATAAGATTACTTTTAGTTCCGACCACATAATAATCAAATTCAAATAATTAGGATTGGCGGGAACTTTCTGTGTGAATTCTGGCTCGACACAGAGCAAGAAGAAGACTTCGAGAAGGGCCAGTGAATGGCAGTGAATAGTCGCCGACAGAGTCTTTTTTTTTATATACAGAATACATATTTCGGCTGATAAGAAACAGGCTGGCCCGCTTATCAGCAATGCCCAACAAGAATCAGTACACACGGACGAGCGAGATGTGAGAAGCGAAAGCGGACGAAAATAGAAACAAACGGCGATAAATTTACAGCGAAGGCGAATTGTCATACATAAGCGATGTGCCGCAGAGGAGTAGAGTAATAATCAATCAGTTAATCTGCCAATTAGCCGGAGAGTAGACGTGAAAATGATCAGCGGGAACGGATAGCGCGATAGTGAGCAGTGATCGTAACTCCGGATAGTTCTAAACACTAACCTCAACACGTAGTTATTTAGTATTTGTTGTTAAAGCACCGACAAAGCCAGCCAACATATCAAAGAGCCATTGATTCTTCTCACCTAGTTAACTTGTAGAGCGTAGTTTTTGCAGCGGTACTGACTACTCAGCTGAGCGATTTCCCCAAGAATTCAAAATAAATTTAAATCAGTACTCTAAATGTGCCTTGTTCGTCTTCACCAGAGCCCAGCATGTTGAAATCGAAGCAGTTGCTCCAGCAGTTTTCCAAAGGTAAGGATACATTGGGGTTTTGGAGCTGAAATGGCGCAATTTCAGTTATATTACACACATCAGCTATCTGTGTTTTTACTGCCGCCTTATTATCAGCTTTAGGCATGTGCTGGAATAAACATAATACTTATCACCAGCTCGTAGGCCCGCCTTGACAGGCAATAATCGCTTTTCACTCTGACCAAGCCGAAGATTATCAGTAAACACTTTTTCGCCAAATTCTTTGGCGTGATGAACTTTCCGCTGATACAGTAACTAGCAAAGGTATCCTTTAAAAGATATGAATTATCCAAAAGAAAACAAAACCTATAGACAACTAACCTAATGACGGGTATTTCTCCTTAGTTAAAAAAAAACCTATACAAAACTTTAGTAGTTGCCTCAGAAAGCAGTGTCATGTATCTTAATGAATTTAAATTAACGTTCTTTAAATAAAAGTCCGAAACCTGAGCATGTAAACAAATGTATTCTAAGTTTGAATGGAAATTGGAAATTAACAATAATTATAAAAAAAACAGCGTTATAATGCAAAACAGCAAAAAATAATGCCTCTGGCAAAAGAAAAACTTTAATATATTTTGTCATCTATAGTAAAAAGATCCAAAATGTATCGGAATTACTTTTAAGACCCACTGTACAGTGCATCAGCTGTTCTGGGAGATTCCCGTCGAAATCGACTGGTTGGACTTTGGGTTCCGGGTGTACATAGGATGCTTATGAGTGGCATGAAGATTATACCAGGGGGGTTGAGTAAATTTCCTGTCCCAAGGACACAACAAGATGGGACTAACGAAGCCATCCGTTTGCAATCGGATTTTTTACAGAGTACGCAAAGTTCACGCCGAACAACTTTAAGCTAAAGCGGGCCCTGGTGGTCACCAAGTTGTCCCGCTATGAGTTCGAGCAGCTTCGTCACCCGGAACTGTCGCCGGATCAGCTGCAGCAAAAGCTGCGTGACCGGGGAACCGACGTGGAGATGGTCCTTTATTTGCACAAGGTGCACAAGGACTTCGAGCGCCGGGTCGTGAAGAGTTTCCAGGACGTGGGCTGCGAGGTGAAACTGTCAAGCAGGTGCGTACATCCATACCCAATTTGTCCTCCTAATCAGTGATCGGAATGGTTCTTTACCGGGTGAGGTGCTGAGTACATATCTTCTCATACTTTAGAAATACCTTATTATGAGAATTAATTATTTTTTAAAACTATATGTAATGTATATAGTGTGATATTGAGATAGATAGATAAAAGTGTTCTTGAAATCGCTAAACTCTACTAGTATTATTACTATTCTTGGTTTGTAATATTGCATCTACATAAATGGATTGTACCCGTACCCTTACCTAGAGACCTCCAATCACTACTCCCAGTATTGTGTTGTGTGTCTCGTCACCTCGTCACATACTATACTTTATATGTATCTTCGATTCGTGACTACTACCCGCTACAATTGATCTCCACATTCACACACTTCGTGTCTCCCATGCGGCCCCTCGCCTTGTGCGTTGACTTTACTAAACGAGCAGACTTGAATTTAGAAGCTCGTTAAGCAAGGATGTCATGAGCTGGGCGGACGTCATAGTGCCGGTTGGCGGCGATGGTACCTTCCTGCTTTCCGCCGGACGCGCCAGCCCGCTCTTTGCCCTCAGCCAGCAGAAGACGCCGATCGTGGGCTTCAATTCGGATCCACTCCGCTCGGAGGGTCGTCTTATGCTGCCCAAGCACTACTCGGACAATCCCGCCGACGCTGTCTCCCGCATCAAGAGCGTAAGTCCTGGAATCACCACTTCCTTTCTTATATAGTTAATACATTTTCCAATCCTTGACAGGGTGACTTCAAGTGGATGCATCGCTCGAGGGTGCGGACTACAATGCTGGGCAGCAATGGCAAGATCCCCGAGTCGACGGACCTTTTCCGGCACACAGAGGTTAAGATGGAGCAGGTCAGCACTGCACCCGAAATGCTGGACCAGGACATGGCTTACAAGTACAAGGCCAAAATGAAACGCATTCTTCCATACTTGGCGCTGAACGAGGTATGTTTTACCCAAGGAATTATTTGTCATCAGCCATTATCAACTGTTTCCCATCTATAGGTCTTCATTGGCGAACACCTCTCAGCCCGAGTGTCCCACTTGCAGCTGGTGCTGGATCACCAGGACGTGGTGAACAAGACGAAGTGCTCTGGATTGTGTGTCAGCACGGGCACGGGCTCAACATCCTGGCACACCAGCATCAATCGCATTACCAGCCGGGATGTGGACGACTTGTTGCGCTCTCTGCCCAACGGCAACTCGGAGGACGTGAAGTTGCTGCGCCAGAATGCGGAGGAGATCGCCCAGCGGTACAACCAGGGGTTGCTATTCGCGCCTGATGACCCGCGTCTCTGCTACTCGATCCGGGAGCAAATCTGCGTGGGCGTGTGGCCCTCGCCAAAGACTTTTAAGGAGCGCGACTTTGTGCAGACAGTGTTTGTCAAGTCGCATTGCATCGATGCCAGTAAGTAGTTGACAGTATGAAGCTGGAATATAATACTAAAATATTTATTACTTCCTCACACAGACCTTGTTATTGATGGCAGCATTTCGTTCCCCTTCAACGATGGCGCCAAGGCTTTGCTGGAGGTCCATCCAGAGGATGCCCTTCTGACAATCGCCTTAGACTGAATCCAGTGATGCGTCCCAAGTGCCTGGTTATCTAGCCCTAGCATGTCTGAATTTTGAAATTATTTAAGTATGCATTTTGCAACTACTACTTAGCAGTGTAAGCTCAAAAGTTATTTTGTTATTATATAAACATATATTTAAACATCACGCTTAAGCTTTTGTTTGGACTTTTGAATATTTTTTGGCTTGCCGTTGTGGACAGTCGGTTTGCCTTTGCTGAGCCTTTTTACTGGCTTCTTTTCGGTGTCTCCATTGGGGGCTTTACTTTTTCCTTTCCACTTTTTCTCGAACCGCGCACTGTCTACAGATTTGAAACGTTCATCCTGAAGAAGAGTCTTGCCCTCCCCGTTGGCAGCCGACTCTGCCTGCTGCAGTTTCCTCTTTCGGCGTATTTCCTTCAGTTTATCCTTCTGCTTTTTGCGATACCTAGGTTTGAAATACAAATAAGTTTCGGATGTAAAGAATGATTCGATTTTCCTCAACTTACAGCGCTTCCATTTGGTCAGGATCCTTGCCCTCCATAATCCACGTCTTGCGCCTGTAGTTCTGCGCCCGTTCATCGAAATCGTTATTGTCCAATTGCATTTCAGATTCACGGCGAGTCACATTCACTTGCATAAATATCCGCTCCACCATGCGCTCTAAAGTATATTAACGTGTATTGAAATATGACGTTATCATTTTACTTATCAAAAGCTTACGATCGATGGGATGCTCTGTGAGCTTTGTGTTGATCTCCTCCTCAATGGCGCCCAAGAGCTCCAGATCACGTGGAAAGCGGAATATGGAGATGGACATGCCCTTGCGACCCGCTCTAGCTGTCCTGCCCACACGGTGGATGTACTCTTTGGGTGTCCGGGGAAGCATGTGATTCATGACCAGCTGGACACTGGGTATGTCCAGACCTCTGGCCGCCACATCTGTGGCGATTAGTGTGCGAATTTGGTTGGACTTGAAGCGACTGAGGGCAGCCACTCGCTCCTTTTGTCGCATGAAGCCATGTAGGCAAACGTTATCAATATCCATGCTCTTCAGGGTCATCGAGAGTAACTGGCAGTACCTAAAAGTAGTACGTTATAAATCTATATCTTTTTTACATAGACCAAGATGTAGACTTACTTCTTTGTGTTGGTGAAGATCATCACATTGGCGTTTTCGTTCTCCTCGCGATACTTTCTCAGTGACTCGATCAAAACCATATCGCGATCGTAGTCGGCGCAGAGCAGATAGCGTTGGTCCAGGGTGTCCACAGTGGCCACATCGGAGTCCTGCGACCATTCAAAGCACTAAAAGCAAAACAAAGGCATTAAACACAGCCGTTTAATGGCATATTTTACAAACTCACCTCGCTGGAAATGGGAAATATGCTTGACTCCTTCATAAAGTCCTTCATGGTGGCGGAGAAGAAGAGGTTCTGCCTGGTCTTGGGCAGACACCTCTCGATGATGGCCAGGCTCTCGTCAAAGTCGCCGTTCAGCATGCGATCCGCCTCGTCGACAACTAGATACTTGAGATTGTCGAAGGAGAAGGTGTCGCAGCCGGTGAGGTGATCAGCCAAACGTCCGGGCATGGCCACCACGATGTGCGGACGCTGCATTAGCTTCTGGCTTTCAATCATCTGGTCCGTGCCGCCGGACACGACGCACACGCGCACCCCCATCGCCTGACCAGCCACCAGGAACTGCTCGGAAATCTGGTAGGCCAGCTCGTGCGTGGGCGTCAGCACCAGGGCAAAGTGGCTTACTGGTTCCTCGCTCAGCCGCTCCAGAATGGGCAGGGCGAAGGCAAAGGTCTTGCCCGAACCCGTCTTGGCTGCCCCGATGCAATCCTGACCAGCCAATATTGCCGGAATGCAGTTCTGCTGGATGGGAGTTGCTCCTTTCAGGCCTGAAAAGATGTTGATCTTAACTACTGAGTTCACGGACTGGCTGCCCTGACATTACCCAACTTGGTTAGCTGCTTCACCAACCAAGGACGCAGGCCCAGGATCTGGAAGGGATTGGCCTCCTTCCGTTGCATTTTGGTAAATAAAAATACCACGAAATAAACAACGAAAACAACGTGCGCGCGTGCTAGTGATGGGAGTACTCTCGATATCAAATGTAGTATATAGTTATCGACTTTTGTTGATTCTTCAGATTAATTTATTAAAACATTTTAAAATGGTTATAAAACCAACAAAACAAATTGGATTAAACTAGTAGTTTCAATTAAACATTTACATCACATCTTCATCATTTGTTATGTAAATATACAAGCAAATAACTTTTCCTTTGAAGCCAGGCTATCGATAGGTCGGTTTACACATCTCCAACGCCGAATTGGCGCGATCATTTTGTAAACACAGCAGAGGATTTTGGATCTAAATTTTAGATTCTAAAATAAAAGAAATGAGCGGGGAAACGGATATTCTCGGCGTGTCCCTATCCTACAGCGAGCTGCAGGCTATAGACCAGGAAGATATCATCCTGCTAATCGACGTGGACTCGGCTGTAAATATCTGCAAGGAGTCTGTAGCAAACGAATCCGCGAGTACTGTGGATGTCTTGACACTATGGTTCAGTAAACTCTTAAGAGCTTATATTGATGAATCTGTGTGCTGTATCCGAGCGGTAAAGGAGATGTGCCAGTGGTTTCAAATGGTAGGTCTCCTTGCATATAATATTCTAGTCGAGTAACTTCAGTTTCGTCCTCAGGAATCAGACTCCGGTACCGAAATTCACAGCGCTCATATAAAACTCTTCGAAGAGGCTCTTTCCTTTATCACCCTATCCAGGGATCATTTGTTGAAGGCGGGAGAACGCCTGGTTCATATTTTCACGTATCTTATGTTATCAATGATAGCCTTTTTCTTGGGAGGAAGGTAAGTCATGATATAAAATCTACATATCTATAATATACCTCTTTTAATATATGTATTCCAGCAACAGGAGTGAACATCAGCTTCTTGCAGATCTTCAGTATGCTGTGCTTTCTCTGCTAAAACAAAATACCGCAGGATCGAGTAAAGTCCACCCTCGTCTTACTCCCTGTAAGTTAGGAAGAGTGTGCTTTTCATAATATCTATTAGGTCTATTGTTCGATTTGAGTTCAAACCAGTTCTTTAATGGTTTTTCTCAATGCACTAAACCCAGGAAATTAACTGATAGTGATTATTATATTTATTTTCCATAAACTTCTAACTTATTAAACTCTTATATTTTAGTGATGCAAAAGATAATGGAAATAGCCGATTTTGAAAGAAAACAACTTCAGGATCTGGAGTTACCTGTAAGGACAAGCGAGACGATTACTTACATGTGCTTGCACTACATGTCACACGTTAATCTCAAAGATGAACAAACACCCGAATGGCTAAACGAAACGGTTTCGCATCTATGCGAAATGATCCTCAGTTACCTGGAAGGTCTTTATGAAAATGTATGTATAGCACATTTTTTTAAAAGCTGGCATATAGCTTATAACTATAAAACAAATACCTTTTTTCAGGGCACACTCACTGTTCCCGCGAAAAAATTAGAAGAACTTATGGAAGTTATGCGGACCTATTTTTTAATGCTGCTGCAGATATTCAATAATAATATAAACCAAGTTGACGATGATATGGCTGCTTGTCTCATGGATGTAATAATGTCTGAACAAACGTAAGATATTGAGAATTGGTATAATTGTTTTTGAATTTGGTATAATATTCTTTCCCTTTAGGACGCCTTCATATTATTCTGACGAGGATATTCAACGGCTTATCTCTAAGTATGTTAGACCACATGTGATGGAGCTTTTTAACTTGGTATACTCTTTCCAAAAATGTCAAGAGGTAAGAAATCTGTGTATTAATGGGTTTTCGATTGGAAGTGATTTCGGTAATTTCTTGAAATATGTTTTTATAAAGGAGTTTATTTTTTAGTATTTAGTATCCGGTATTCTGTGTACACCAGAATGGGACTACTGTGATGTTTGCATGGATTTTATAACTACCGTTTCTACAGACAACGCAGATGTCCCTCCAAGTACTTGTCGAACATTAAACCAAATCTTTGAATATTTGTTTAAAGGTAAGGTATCTTAAAGGTACTCTTTATATCTTACATACTATTTGTTGGATCCACAGATGCTACCAACTTTGTCAATGCTGAACGCTATGAACGAGTAATGAATGCCTTTGGTAGTCTCTTGTATTTGGTGCCCAACAGAGAACTGCATAGTTATTTCTGTGCTGGTCTATTTCAAAAGGATGTTATTACATCGCAAGTGTGTGCGGATATACTGATGCTGTGTTTTCGGTAAGTAATTATATTTCAAAAAGCATTCAATAAATGTAATTTATTTATATTTTAGCCTAAAAGAGGTTAATAATGGTTGGACAGACAAGGACATAGAACTAGCTGTAGCTTTCTGGAGTAAGTGCAATAATTCTTATGCCATGTTCTCACAAAATCCCAGCCAATGGCATGTGCAGCGATTTCTCCGATATTTTCACTACTTGGGAAAACGAGGGCTTCCTGCCCTGAGCACTCGAAACTTTCGATACCTATCTGCGGTAACGAAACCAGATGCCCAAGTTGGAATGAAGCTATTGAATCGCTTAGAACACATCTCATCTTTAGCGCCCACACAGGTTGAGGTCTACTATGAAATGGTAAGTGTAAGTTTATTTCAAACTTACAATTTCTAATTTTTGTTGTACCTTCAGGCTGCTCTTCTAGAACTATTGGTGCAGCAGAGTCAAACAGACTGTTCCCTGTGGTTTCAGAAGACATCAGAAATGGCCAAGGAAGTTATGAGCATTGGCAATAGTTCGACCTTCACTAGTGCCTATTTCAAGCTGCTTTCTCGTGGGAACAAAACAACGCAAATACTGATATTACGTGGATTGAACGCTTCTAATGGATGCACCAACTGGCACCGACAACAATTCCTAGACTCTTGCAAAGCCAGCGATGATGCCCAACTAAGAGTATTCAGTGCCCGCCACGTCGTAGGGGTTGAGGTTCAACCATTGTTTGAGGCCTTGCGACTGAAACCAGGAGCTTTGGATGAATCGCTAGATAATTCATATGTCGTCAGTAAGTCGAGCTACACGCTGCACTCGGAACACCATTGCCCAAGCTCTAGCTTTAAACGTAAGCGAAGTGAAATACCGCTCAAGGAAATCCTACGTGAAATCTACGAGGGCTCACTCCAACTGGGTCACTGTAGTGAGGCCTTTGATGAGACCGACCGGGATCTGTTAAAAAAAGTGATGGCCAATTTGAGTAGGATCGATCCAGGAACATAAACTTTGCGCACAATTTCAAATATCTTTAGGGTTGTTCTGGTTCCTAGGATATGAAATCATCTTGAATGAGAATGCCTAGTTAAGGGGACTTATGTTTAAACGAGAGTATTAAATTGTAAATAAAATTGTAAAACTCACCTGCAAGCGAAGCCGATGTGAAGCTGACGAAACTGCCAGCAAAATATGCTCGAACGGCCACCCGCGTGATATCTGAACGTCGTGCGGGTGCCATTGCACTCAGGGCAGCAATGAGGATGCCCAGTGATCCGGGGTTGGCAAATCCGCAAAGCGCAAATGTAGCAATCGAAGCGCTCCGTGACTGTGGTCATTTTATTGGTCACTCTTCTATTAGGAATTCTCAATCTGCACCCACTTACCCCTACTTTATGCTCGCTCACCAACTGGCCTAGGTGCTTATAGGCGATAAACTCGTTGATCAGTGATTTTTCGGCCACCACCATCCCAATCTCTTGACAGTCCTGCCACGGCACGCCCATCAAGAAGACTATTGGGACAAACACTTGAGCGAGCAGGAAGAGCAGAGTGATGTTCTTCAGACCGAGCAGCTCAAAAGTCCATTCGGTTAAGGCGTTCAGGAAAAACATTATGGCCAGAAAGGCAATGATGTTCGACACAATCCCGAGGACAATCATCAAGGCTGCCGCTGCTCCACTGGCGGCTGCATCCAAAATGGACGAATCTGGCCTTAAATGGTTAGTAAAATAAATAAATAAAATAAACAGTACCTAAAAAAGATCTTACGATTTTTCCAGCTGTATGTTGTCGGACCTGGTCAGCGATTCCTCGGTTTCGGGGTAAAACAGCTTGGAGAAAGCTAGGGAGCCCGGAGCAGCCATCACGCTGGCCGCGATCAGGAAGGCGGGCGAGGCACCGAAGCTCACATATGCCCCTAGCACGGTGCCTGCCACCGTGGCATAGCCGGAGGTGCAGATGGTGTGCAACTCGCTCACGGTCAGTATCAGGATGTACGGCCGGATGACCAGGGGGCTCTCGGACATGCCCAGGAAGATGTTGGCCGCTGCATTCACGCTCTCACAGACCGTGGTGCCCACCATGGCCTGCAACAGGAACCCCAAAGCGTTCAGGATGAACTGCATCCAGCCCAGATAGTACATGATGCTGGTGACCACGCTGAAGAAGAACACCACCGCTAGTATGGCAAAAGCGAAGACATACTCGTCACATATCCGATCGCCGTACACAAAGCGGGCTCCGTAGTTAGCGGAGCCCAGAAACAAGGTCACCTTCTCGCCAAGACATTCAAAAATGGAGCGACCGAAAGGGGCACGCAGGCAGAAAATGCCCAGCAGGAGCTGGCCAAGGAGGCCGTGGGTCACGATACGCCAGGGAACCCTTTTGTGGTGCTTGGACACCGCAAATCCGATTAGGAGAAAAGTCACAGGTCCCAGCAGTCCTATCGCCTTGGTCCCATCATAGCGGCACTCGTAACCGAGGTAGGCCACCGCCAGCGAGACAACAATCAACAGCATTACGCCGGAAACTATCCTATCCTTGGAAAAATAGATACATATAGTAGATATAGGAAACTATAATATTTTAAAGGCAAAGAAATTCTGGAGGTTTTGAATTACGAAGACCAAAAAATGGTCGGGAATCCAGTTTCTATCCAAGTTTCTACTTACAACTTGCGACTGAACTCAATCCATTTGTCAATGGCAGGTTCTAGGTAATTGTTATAGAGCTTGATGCCCACATATGGCTTGAATACCCAGTAATACAGCCAAAGTATATAGAATATGACAAAAATGATTATGAGGAACCCATATCCGTGGCACCAGTTCATTTTACACAGAATGTTCGCCTTAAAACTAGACTTTGGTTCCTGTGAAGTGCTTTCTTCTGAAGCACTTGTAGTTGAGTCAGTTAAATTTCCTGACGATTCCGTTGTTTCTTCAGCGGGACTTCGAGGTGGAATGCATTCGTCGGATTCCTTGTCTAGACCAGTTTTTGATATATCACTTCATTTACCATATGGGCAGGCACAAGACTCACCGAACAATATGAAAACGACTGTTGCTCCAATAAAATGAGCTATGAAGATTACGTGAAGCAAGACATGAAGAACTATATAAGTGATTCTCCACGCTTTCGATCGTGGTGGCTTTTCCTCCGGTGTTTCTTCTGCTGGCTCCTGATCAGCCATTTCGAGCTAAATTTAAATAGAGTGTTTCCTAGAAATGTGTGTACTCGTTATGACTAACATCCCAAAGCCCTCTTAAAAGATAGGTAGTAATAGTCTTAGCAACAACATTTATTTAATAAATAAGAATTTGTGTATTTTGTATAATTTCATCAGCTAATTATCACTGGAAGGAACTAAAACTGAGTAACGTTTTTCCGACCCAATTTCTGGAATATCCGGTTGTAGTTCGTCGCCTCTTCCTCTTCTTGTAAAAGGATGCCTGCAGAAGGAATTAATAAAGATCATTTTGGAACCCTTTGGTTAAGTTTGGTTAACTACTGACCTGCAAAACTGGCGGATACGAAGCAGACTATGCTGCCCACCACAAAGGCTCGGAAAGCCACCGATGTGATGGTGGAGCGACGATGAGGTGCCATGGCACTAAGGGATCCGATGAGGATGCCCAAGGAACTGGGATTGGCAAAGCCGCAGATGGCGAACGTGGCGATTCCAGCGCTGCGGGCCTAGGGTAATCAAATGGGTTTACCATCCAGTTGATTATTTAGTCTGTCGTTAACTTACAGTGATTTGTTTATTGTCAATGTATTGACCTAGACGCTCATAGGCCACAAACTCGTTGATAATGGTCTTGGTGGCCACCACTTTTGCGATGATATCGCAGTCCTCGGGGGGCACTCCCATCGCCCAGACGAGCGGAATGAACAGCTTCGAAAATATCCACTCGAAGTCAATGTGCTCAAGACCCACCAGATAGCCAAACCAGCTGACCAGGCCATTGAGGAAGGCAATGAAGGCCACAAAGGCCACTATGTTGGCAATGATGCCCATGACAATGGGCACGGCATTGCTGGCACCACTGGACGCTGCATCCAACAGCGAAGAGTCCTGCCTATAAGGATAAAAAAGAAGGGAATTAAGGTTTGTGATTTTATACGGTATATAGGTTAGTCTAAACTTTGGATGAAGGACTTACGATTTTTCCAACTCTATTGAATCCGACGAGGTCTGGCTCTCCTCCGTCTCCGGCATGTAGAGCTTGGAGATGGCCAGCGTGGCGGGAGCCGCCATCACCGAGGAGGTGATCAAGTGGGCAGCGGATGCCCCAAAGGACAAGTAGGCCGCCAGCACGGTTCCAGATACCGTCGCAAAGCCGGACACCATGATGCTGTGGATTTCGCTCTTGGTCAGCTTGTTGATGTACGGCCTTATGAGCAGTGGACTCTCAGACATTCCCAGGAAGATATTCGCTGCCGCCGTCACACTCTCGCAGACGGTGGTACCCATGACCTCCTGCAGGATCCATCCCAGCTTTACGACTATCCATTGCATCACACCCAGGTAGTACAGGATAGAGATGAAGAAGCTGAAGAAGAAGATCACCGGCAGGATGGCGAAGGCAAACACGTTATTTGACACCAGGAAGTCGCCGAACACGAACTCGGCACCATCGGTGCCATAGCCCAGGAACGTGGCCACCTTGTTGCCAAAACATTCGAAGATTTTGCGGCCCACCTCCCAGCGGATGCAGAAGATGCCGAGCAGGAACTGGCACGTAATCCCCGTGATCACGATGCGCCACTTGATGGCACTTCTTTTTGTGGAGAAGACGTAGCCGCACAGGATGAAGAAGCAGGGACCCACCAGGGACACTAATTTCTGTGGCTCGTCTCGGGTCTCGAAGTACACGAATATGGCCAGCAGGACGAGGATCACGACAATGCTGGCCAATGACACAATCCTGGAGGTGGAAAAGAAGTGGGTAAGGTGAAGCTTCAATTAGATTTTAGAATATTTTCTTGTTTTTGTATGAGATAAGCTTTATAAATATAGAAAGAACCCTGCTTTATCAAGATGTATACTAAGCGATACGTTATAATAACTATTTCTTTATTGAAATTTTTTGCAACTTTAAGTCTTTCAAAAATGGTAATCAGATTTTCATTCCTATAATTAAAGGAAAAATATAACAGACTCTTGCAATTCTATGAAAATAATATAGTAACTTTTATGTTTTTCCTTTAACAGACCTTTTTGTTATTAATACAACATTTCAAAGGACATTAGTTGGAATCTTTTAAGTACCCAACTGTTTCCTGCCTAAAGTTCTACCGTATGATCGACTTACCTGGTTCTGCTGAAAGTGTGCCATTTCTTGGAAAAGGGACTTAGGAAGCTTCTGTGTAGTTTTCTCCCCACCATGGGCTTGAAGATGTAATAGTAAAACAGACCAAAGTAGGTGAAACCCAATAGGAGCAAGAGCATTCCATAACCAGTGCAGAAGTTAATACCACACAATGGATTATCTTTCCAGTAGCACTCATAATTGGCTGTAAGTGGATAAGAATTATTTTCTGTAATGAGGATAACTCGGGAGCATACTCACTTATGTCATGGTAGTGATAGGTAGCATATGAAAAGTAACCCACCACAACGAGGTGTATCAGTATATAAGTAGAGATCTTTACAATACGAGCCACTTTGGGATTCTTCTCAAAGTATCCCTTTTCTTTTGAGACCTCTGCCATGTTTTCCAGCGGTAGTTCCTTAAATTCTTCAGGGTCATGGATTTCCAACTCTTTCTATGAAAATTGTTTTATACTTGAACTAAATATATATGTATATATATTTGGTTTTAAAAGACAAACTTACATGGTCCATTTCGTAGCCATTGTTAATAGCTCCTTTCGAAGAGTCGTCTGTCATCTATAACGATAAAGTCACCGTGACAAGTTATTGGCCATTGCCGGAAACGTAATCTGGTATAATCTCTATCAAACTATTTTAGACATCGAGTGGGCAGATATGTGAAGTGTCCAACGACACTAGATAGGTTTCTTTCGGCCGGTAAATCAAGATTCGACAAGTTGGACGACTCGTGCCCACTCAAAAGAAAGCGATGGGTGCCGAAAAGTTTTTTAAATATGCAAGTGGGTTGGTGCTTTTTATTGCACTTGACATTTGGTATTTTAGAGTTAATTGCTTTACTCCAGCACGTGGTTAGTCACTCCAATTATTTCCGTTGATTAGTTCCAAGGGTTAAGGAGGGTAAACTACGAAATTGGTTGCAGATAAGCCACTACAATTTGTATTCTTGATATATGCCGGTTGTAAATCCCATTCAGTGTACTATATATCCCCGTTAGGTGGTCTTTCAGTTAGGATTTTCCAATAAGGGTAATCGAAACCCGTGTTGATAGCACTATCTGAGTGGCATTTAGCCAAACTCGTGAAAGTTAATAAAGTACTTATTTATAGTCGCATTGTTCTGAGAACAAGGTGATATACCCGTGTCCCCTAAAAACAAATCACCAAAACACACGTGGTAATTTATATTTTCATTCAACTGCAGTCTAGCGTAAAATGCACAGCCTTTACACTATAAATCACTTTGTATATTAAATCTGAGTAATTATAGCCCCTTGATTTCGTGCGACGCCAGTTAATTCACCTTTTTGAATTGTTTGTTTCGCTTTGTGTTTAATGAGTACTATCGGCTTTTATGGCCGAAACGGGTTTTCAAAGTCGTTACTCTCGGTGCGTACTGGCCGAATACTAATGACTGATTAATGCATCTGCTTAGCCTGGCTAAAAACTCTGGCCAACTGCCATCGCAGCTCGTTGAAACTCGCGGCAAGACTAAATTCGTTTAGTTCTGTCCGGGCGTTTTTAATACGATCGTAAGTACGCGGTATTCGATAGGGGAATATCAGGTTCGGATCGGCACACTTCGTTTTTTAGCTTTGTAAATGATTTAATGATTTGTTATGATTTATGATATCTTGATACCGTTTGGCCTTGCCGATTCAAGGAGATAATCTATGTTCCGAGCATGGCTAACTTAATATTCCTTTGTAATTTATTTATCTACATTTCTTCTAGCAATGGGTACTTGACAGCCCCAACTCAATTTGTTAAGGATTGATATGTTGCTTGAAGCCGCTAATTTGGTTAAACAGCATGGAGAAATAATTACTAAATAAATATTAGTTTTATTGAGGCAACTCAGATTTTATAAATTGAGTTATACCCTAAAGTGTGACATAAAGAGAGTTGTACTTTGCCTATATTTAGAAAATGTTAATTTTAGATGATTTCCTAGAGAGTCATATAGTATGTCTAATCCCCATATATCTCTTATATTTAACGGACCTTTTTTCTCTGCGCTAGGTTTTATAAATTTCTCTTGCCTTATCTCTCCAATTAGGTGAAATACAGCTGCCATGGCTGTGTAGTGCTGAATAGGCAGTTGAGATGATATGTATACTGTTTTATCAGCTGGTTGTTAACAAAAAGACGTTCTCTGCATGCGCTCTATGCGATATTAGCGAGATAATTTCCAGTGGGCCATATACCTCTCCACAGATTGCAGGCGATAGCGATGACGTTTGAGGAATCTGATTGCGATAGTGGGGCGGTATGTGTGCCGGATGATATGGGGTTCCATACCCGCCCATTGATAGAGTTCTGGGTAACTTTACTGGTGGTCGAGGGCAGTGGCGATAGCAATAATGTCACAATTGATTGGCCAATCGCTGAGTGCCATAAACAGCCAAGTGCAAAGTTGAAATGATTTCTAATCGTAATCCTATGGGATCTTACAATAAAAAGAAACATCTTATCGTCGAGCCCCTCGTGTGACAATCTGATCCAAAAGGGGGATAAGAAATAAATGGGAAGTCAACTAGCTTCTTATTTGATTCGCAACTTTACACGCTTGCGACTTATATTTATTAATATATGTATTTCTCATATTTTATTCATACTTGCAATACGTTTTACAAATGCACTTAGTTAGGATGGTGGTGAGGGATTATACATCGATAGCTTTGTTGCCTTAATGAAAATGTGGTTCTTATAAAATCTTAAAAACAAAACAGAACAATGGGTTCCGAACGGGGGAATTTTGAGATTTACGGCTGCTCTGGGTGCTCTGTTGCTAGCAGAAAGGCATTTTTAACCTAGTGACTTATTTATGTAACAAAACTGTATTCCGGGGACTGTAATCGCTTATCAATGGAATCGAAAATGCTTGATTTGGTTCGTCCTTGGCTTTCTGGTTTTTCGAGTGGATTGTGCAGAAGTCTGGGATTGTAATGCTTCGATAAGGCATTGATTAATTTCGGTTTACCATCTAAATATATTACCTAAAATCGTATTCAATTTGTTTCGGGTTTGCTTTCCTCTTGAGGTTCTAACAATTTTTTGTAGCAAAACATGTGCGGACTCAACCCCATCTAAATCACAGGCTTCTAATATAAGAGAGATTTTAAAATTAAAATCGAATTTCGACCGAAAATTGGCTTAGCTTACAACGAATTTAAAATAAGGTCATAAGGAAACCGATCAAAAACTAAAAACTAATTAAGTCAACTGGCCCTAAAGTTACAAATATAAAACAAGACATTATTATAAGACCAGCATGAGTGTGGGTGAGAGAGAATAATGGGGGGTATATGGGGTGGATGATTGGGAGCTCTATTCCTGCTTGTGGGTGGGGATCTTATGGTGCTTGGGGTGGCGATGGTGGTGCTGGTGGTGCTGATGCAGCTGGTGCGGATGATGGTGGCCAGTCCGATGTCGGTGGTGGTTCGAGATCGGCTCCATCTGCTGTTCGCTGTTGCTCGCCGAGGACATCAGCTCCTCCGCCTCGATCTCGTGGCTATGGTTATGGTTATGATGGCGCCGGTGGTGCAGGCACTCGATCTCGCCGCTCTCGTCCAGCTGGTTGTCGATCGTGGGTGAGTTGGATGTGGTGGACTCGATGTACGCTCTGCTCTTGGGTGTGTTGCAGATGCTCTTCATGTAGTTGCTGCCGTTGAACAGAATGTCTAACCTTGGTTTTCTGTAAAAGAAATAGTCAATTTGTTGAGAGATCCTTTAAAGGTATGAGTTCTTATTCTAGTTGAATTTTCATATTTTAAATTTGAACAATCTTGTCCTTACATCATGACTAGTCCTGACTGTTAGCCAATTTTAAAGTGGTAAATATTATTATTAATGTACATTGCAATTTTAAATATTTTGTATATTATCCGTTTTCGTTCTTCTCTGATCCTACACTTTTATCAAGCTCAAAAATGAAAAATTTTGGAATCAAGGCGCCATGTGTTCTTCCTCTTCCATGAACATGAGTCATATTTTTCCTGATCTGGTAACACCAACCTCGTCTATCTCTTTGACCCACATTACATCTACATTTGTATGTTCCTATCTACATTTATTCTACATCTACATTACTTCTAAATGCACTGCTTTAAAGAACTGCTTGGAAGCCGTTACTCCCATGAACATTTAAAAAAACAGAAAACGATAATGTAATAGAATTTAAAATAATATTTAATCAATAAAAGTATTGTGAAAATGTTCGATAATATTAAGATAGTTATTATAACTCATTTAAAAGCTTGTCAGCTCTAACCTTTTTTTTAAGGAATTTAAAATGATAACTTTTAAAAAAAAATAATAGGTAATAGTAAAGGTTTTATTATTGTACATTTTTTAAGCCTTATTTTTAGTATTTTAAAATCCACTTTGTTTGAAACATAGAACATTTCTTAAGAAAACTTAAATTATTTAATGCCAACCTTTAGCATAACATTAAGTTATGCCATATTATTCAAAATAAAATTTAATAATATTTCAATTTTCTATGCCGCACTTACCTTGGCAGTGGCCAACTCGCCAGATGAGACTTAAACGGTTCTGTTCGGTAAACGCGCCATGGGACTGCAACCTCTGCAAAATACGCGTAACCGGGGAACCATTAAGCATTGAACTCTGCCAAAAAGATATCGTAGGTCATGCAATGCAAATTGGAAATGGCGCAAATGAACGGCATGCAAAAGAGCACAAGACAGAAACAACAACGTCAAACATTTCGGGCAGCAGAAAGCGCAAAAACTAAACAACACAGAAAGCCGGGCACTGCGCACAACGGTGCGTATGAGCAATTTCGATTAGTAGCACCTTGAGCGGAATCTGCATCTGCATCTGCGTGTGTGTATCTTACCGATCCGGGGCGTTAACTTTCAAGATGTGAGTCAATCCTAAACAGATCTGTGGACTTTCTTTCCTTACTTCCGCTCCACTTTAAGAGCCCCAAACCCAAAAACCCATGAATTTCAAATATACGGACGGAAGCATTTCGTAAGGAAAACGTGCAGGCTACGAATTGTAAATTGAAACTTAGATTCTGCTGACTGGCCAGCACAATCAGACGACTAGGTATTTTTTATGGATTACGTCTACCGATTTTCGAACTCGGTCTGGAATTACATTGGAATTACAATTTTTTTTTTGTATTTTTCTTTGGTAAGCTCAATTTACGTCTGCCGGCTGGCCGGCCCCCAAAATTCCCTGAGTAATGACCTTTTCGGGAATGTAAATAAAATTCGAATCGCCGGTTGGCTGGGAAGGGGGCCTGTCGCTACCAAGATGGATGTGGGATGGATGAGATAGATAGAGAGTGACTGATGGGGAGGCTGGGGCGTCTCCACTCCGTTCCCGGGGGGCGGTTAGTTGGACATGGCAAACAACACGCTTACCTGCCTGATCGCAAGTGGGCGGCTCGAAGTAGAGCCCCGGCTTGAGCGGGTTCTCCTCGTCGTCGTGGACCTCGATCACCAGGGTGCCCACCACGCTGGAGGTCAGCTGGGGCTGCGGGCGGAGCTGCTGGCGGTGCTGCTGCTCCTGCCGCTGCTGCTGCTCCCAGTAGGCCAGGGCGCACTTCACGTCGATCTCCACCCAGCCGGAGGAGGAGCTGCTCAGCATGGCCGTGTTGCAGGTGCGCTTCTTGCGCTCTAAGGGTGAAAAATAAAATATAATAATTAATACAAAATTTATAAAATATATAATATTTTGATTTATTACAATATTTATAAAATACTTTCTTTGTTAATTCAGTTCCTATTATAAAAGCAAAGATTTTAAAATGCATAAAATTCCAGATGTATATTTCTTATATCCGAAGGTTTTTGAAAAAAACACTTCTATACTTCAATGATTTTAAAATGCAGTAAAATCCAGATATACATTTCTTATAACTGAAAATTAAGAAAAAAAACACTTCCAATATTTATTTATGTTATGAAGCAGCTGCAAAACTCTGGATACACAGATTAAAAACAGTTTCCTCTTCTTAGTTTATCTTATGTAAAAACAAAAGTTGAAATGCAGAAAATTCCAGAAATAACTAAATTTATCAATTATGCAATTTAAACAAATAATATTTATATTAAACAAAAAATATATGCCTGCCAAGTTGTGGCAAATAATGCTATTTGGAAATAACTGTAAATAAATATTTCTAAATTTGTATATTTTAATAAATACCTATACCCCTTTTGATATATTTTAAATTTTGTTTAATTTTTCTTAGAATTTTTAGGTTTGTATATTATAAGAAAAACACCCCTTGTTGATATTGTTTAATATTTCTTAGAATTTCAAACGTAAATTATTTTCTTCATAAATCAAATCAAATTTTTCTTTAAACAAACCAATCAAATATTTCTTTAAGTATCGTATTATTATTCTAAAATATTTTACTGGGATTTCCCAAAAGAGTTTAACTTTTGTTTAGACATTGGATATTAAGAATGTGTTATTTTTAAGCTGATAAATTAGTTACTCTGCCCATTTGTATTATTTTATTTTATTTGTATATGTTAGGTAGTAGGTATCTATTAGATACTTATGATTTTTGGGAGTCGTCCTACCTAACTTACGTTTCTTCCTCTGCTGGAGGACAATGGAGACGGTGACTCGAATCTGGGGACCCACAGGGGGCTGTTCGGCACAATTGGCTGCCTGGCTGCCCGAGGTCTCCGTGCTGACCGGTTGAGCTGGAACCTGACCACCACTCTGATCGCGGGTCTGGCCGGGATTGATCTTGTAGAGGCGGAGCACGGCGCTGCTCAGGCGGTCGTCGCTGTTGGAGGTGAAGACGCTGCTGGCGAACGTGAGCGTCACGTTGTTGCCCACCGGCCACTCCTGCGGACTGGTGGTCTCCGCGTTGCAGATGGGAAAGCCGGCCTTCTCCTTGGACACGCTGCCATTGGGCTCATTCGAGATGGCCTTTTGCACGTTCTTTAAGATGTCGTTGAGTCTGGAATTACTTGGGACATTAATAAGACTAATGGGACTTTGTGACACATTTTAAAAGATCTTAAATTTGTTCCATGATAACTCAAATTAAATCAAAAACTAAGCCCAATATACCCCCTTAGTCAATGGGTACTAAGAAGTGGCACCAATTCATGCCCCATCTCTCAACCATTTGTATGCTTAAGTTGTCCCGCCCAGAAAATTTAGTTCAAGTGTTTATGTAAGACTCACTTAATTGACATTAGAGCTCTGTCAGCGTTACACACAATCACTATAGAAAAACCAAGCCATAGAGCACGGGCCATTTGGCGAGAATTTATAACTTTGATTCAATTTAGTCGGATAACACTGGCAGCGAACAAACTAGTTCTTATCGTCGGACTGGTAATATATTTGGGAACCCCCCACCCATGAGTAAACTGTTCTTCATAGAACCCAATCGCGTGATACCCAGAGTTCAGTGCTCTTTTTGGTCATATTTTAGGCTTTTATCAATTTGCTATACCTTTTCACTTTTCAAGATAATCCAACTACTTTGAACTGCTTGCCCTCGAAATCTAAGATTTCACGAGTTCTTGAAAAACATAGTTCTAAATGTTCTTCGATTCCGAGGCCAACAAATTGTTTTTAAAAATAAGCTACGCATATAGGTGTTTATTGAGTAAGGTAACTCTTGAAATATGTTTGTCATTCAGATAAAAAATCAGTTCACTGAGGTCTTTTGATTGCTGCTTAGCCGAACAACCATCAAACAACTTAAAGACTACTTAACTATTTTTCTTTTTTATGAAAGAACTAAATCTGCGCTGATTAAATGCCTCCACATTTTACGCTCGTTCGGGATATTTCCTAAACTTGATTATGAGCTAAGTGCGAATAGTGGAGCAAATGACAGACCGTGTCACTTAAAAACCCATTGAGATCGAGACAGAAATCTGTCTGTGCGAGTGTCAGTACACGGAAAAAAAGTCGAACTTAGAAAAACCTCCTGATAAATGATAAATGATATTGATCTTAAAAAACAAAAAAAAAATCAAACAGATTTTTTAAAAATATTTGTTATATTTACATTCATTTAAAATGTAATAAAATATATAGTAAATTCCTGGGACATTTCTACAAGTGTACCATCATCATATCATCTGGAGACCGGGCAGACAACAATAGTTAGTTAGCTATGATCTAATCTGGCCACACTCACTCGCCGCAAAATTGGACAATTGTATGCGTCTGGATCGGTAATTGAGACGTGCTTGACATTTCGCTTTTTATTTTCCCCCTCACGAAATGCACAAAAAGATCAAGTAAATAACTGATTAATTGTTTTGGCTTTTTGTGTGTGGCCCGCGGCGCAGTTTGTCTAGCCAAAAGATAATTATGAAACACGGTCGGGTCGCCCGCTGACTTCCAGTTTTGGGTCTTTCTCAGTACCGAATCTGAACCAAGCCCATGGCTGAATATGGGTTCTCTTGTTTATGTTTATGTTTACGTTGTGATCGCATCGATCGACTCGAACTGAATCGAATCTGGCCGAATCTGTCTGGCTATCTGGCTAACTGGCTAGCTGGGCTGGCCAGGCAGCTTCAGAATGCGGAGTCGTCTGGAGTTGGCTGTGTGGCATGAACTTGAAAACTCGTTGAGTCGTGCCGTTTGTCTGGCGTTTGTCTAGACAGATTGTCCGCTGGTTGTTTGCTCGCTGCCTGTCTGCCGTCCTGCACCGAAAAAAATCGCACGAAATCGAGGTCAATCTGATCTGATTCACACGGAAAGCGGATGCTGTTTAAGGGTTTTTGGTAATAAGCATCTCGGTCTTATTTCAATTTGGCCATTAAGATCTTTTAAATGATATGACATATTTTTTTGCTTAGTTATATATTTAGGAAATATAACTTTATCGGAAAACAGATGGTACTTAAGGGTCTTTAGATAAGTTGTTCCGATTTCCATTTAGTAATCTATTTTAAGGTTTCTGAGTTATATTGTTTGTTTGTTGTAAAGATCTATTGAAATTATTAAACGAGATATATATTATTTAATTTTTTTTCCTTAGAAATATTTTTTATAAGACCTTTTTAGTTTAACTATGATTTTGGATTTCAGAATTTTGAAAGTTTTAGTTCCATAATGATTTCACAAATTCTTACGCAGAAAGTTACATGCTATAAGAAATATTGGATTTAAGATTTGGTTTTATAAAAAAATCCTAACGTTGGAAATATGTAAAAATGGTGAAATGATTTTAAGCAGCATTGATTTTTGAGGTTGCGAAGTGGTTGTACGAGTTGTATATTCTTCTGGAGGTCTATCTTATAATAATATTAAAAGTAGAACTCAAAATCATTTGATGTTTTTTTTGTTCCGATGTGTTAATATGTGAAGTGAGCTAGGAATAACTGTGCTGGGACAGATGTAATATTTTTTTCAAGTGCGCTGTAGATGCTACCGAGATACTCTGGCTGCCGTGGATGCCATTTCTGTTCATGCGTGAGTCACGCATGCGCAGAGGCAGGGTTCGGGTTCGGGTTCGGGTTCCGTCTTGTGGGGCAGGTGCCCTGGGGGCTGTGGAGGAAATTTGCATTGGCCTCCATTTGCCCGGGGCAGACATCTCTGAATGCATCGCCTCAGTGTCTGCGTCTGCGGTTTTGCAGTTTGTTGCCTTTGGCCACATCAGTAGCAACAGCAACAGCAACATCAACAGCAACAGTAGCAACAACGGCTAGACAGTGTCTCGCCGGCTGCACTTCATTATCATGCAACCAACAGAAACAGCAACAGAAACAGCAACAGCAACAGCAACATCAGCGGCGAACTGCAGCCAGTCGAGGTGCACAGCAACACGCCTACAACCTACAACTGTTTGCATTGCACCATTGCTGGGGGCAGACATGTCTGCTATCCCCGATATTACTCATACGTCATAAGTTTTTTGTTTCGCATTCGCCTGCGAGCGGAACTCTGCCAAAGCAATCAAATAAGATGAAACAATTTAGATATCAGCTGTTGGCCCCCACGAATGCCCGACCTGCATAGCAACGACCTACAAAAAGTTCATTACCGGAGACGGGGACTCGGGCGGAGAAGGAGTCGGTGCCGGATAGCCAGATAGCTAGACATGGCCCAGACTGCTCCCAGACATGTGCCAGACATCCGCGGGCACACAAAGATACAGATACAGATACAGATACAGAGGTCGCCGCCGGAATTCGATGCAGCCTTTCAGTGTGTCCGCATTGTGCAGCGGCGTCGCGACAGTTGCACTACAGTATCTGATGGATACAACAGATACCATTGATGGATCTGGGCTGCCAGGCCCTCGTCACTTTGATCTACTTCGTGTTGTGAGGAGTTGGTTAAAAGGCCTTTGTCTGGCGTATGGTAATTTTTAATAATGTTTCAGATGTATCCTATGGATGCAACAGATACCATTCAAGAATAAAGTTGGTTAAGATTCCATTTAATGAAATCTATTTAATATGATTTATATGATGAGGCCTTATCAGGTATCTGGTAATCTTTAAAATTGTAAGGACCTTTTCACTATGATCTATTTGATATTATCGATTTGGATAAAGTTATTTATAATGACGTTTTAAAATCATGTATAAGATCATATAGATGTAGTATGTTATAGATTTTATTATAATAATAAATTATTGCGTATTGTATGTTATTGTATGTTTGAAATCTATTACGTTTTATAAAAAAATGTTTGGAAAATATTTATTTGGTATACCAAATGATATGTTATCAAAAAGTCGATTGGCTAACTGATTTATAATCTTAACTTTCAACAAATTTCTGTAATACTGGAATATCCTTTGATTCTAATCACCCCAGTTCTCCGATAATCACAAACAAAAGACGCAATTCCTTGGCACGCTTTTCGTCTATAGCTAATATAATTTATTGGTCATAAGTTTCGGTCTGCTAAGCGAGGCCATTACATTTATGACTTTTCGTAAGAACGTCATGCATTTAGCGATGCATTCAATCAATAAATAAATATTAATCGAGAGCACATGTGGAAAGTCCCTTGGGAAAATATTAATTTTCGTTACGTATTTTCATTAATTCACCGAATCGGTTTGCATGGGGGGAAATCGTGCTGAAGATAAACCAAATGAAGCGCACCATGTACAATGTACTTTAAAATATATACCCCAAAAAGTACGGCGCTATATATTTTTTTGGGTGCTTGGCCACAATGGCGAGATGCACAAATGTTTTTAGCCTTGACTGAAATTGGCCCGATTTGGACAAATCCCTCACTTAGCAAATATTTTGGCAATTTGGCAGCAGAACATTGTGTTTATACACAATGTATGGCCGAAACTGATTGAGCGTTTTATAGCAAAGTGCAGTGTTTTGTATACAAAATAGCAATTTTTTAAAATTCCTGGCTAAACATTTTTTCAGCAAGTCATTTTTGTTCTTTTGCTTAAATTTCTATTTGGGGAAAGGGGTTTCTATTCTGGGCGAAAGTGTGACAGTGATTGACAGCGCGTGTTTCTGACAATTTTGAGGCATTTCTTTATTTTGGTACTTACCGCTGAGTGGCGATCTGCTGAAGAAACTGTTGATTGGAGGTCTGGCCGGCAGAGTCCCTCATGTTGGGATTACTGCGGTTCTGGATGCTCAGGATCTGCTCCTCGGTCAGGTTGAAGCGGTTGAGGATGGTGCGGTTGAATGGGTTCACCACCTCCGACTGCACCCCCTCTATAAAGAATGAGGGATCCAGAGGGATGGCCCTCGAGTTTCCGGACATCGTGACCAATGTCAGGACCAAAATGAGCTCTCTAATGCGACTCCTTCCGCACCTTTCACCACGCACAGCACTTGCCATTTTTATGATATGTTCTTTGGCTTCAACCAAACTGAATGTTTTTCACAGGAGAATGTTTATATTTTTCCTTATAGCAACCACTAGATCGTTTAACAATTTAGCTGTATTTATTTTTTGCACATTTTTCACTGCATTTTTAAGGCCAATTCGAGTGTTATCTTTTCCTCTTCAGCTGGATACCGGCTGGCGAACTTGTGTATTTTTATAGCTGATTTGATTTTTTGTTTCTTGCTTCAGCTTCTCGATGTGTTCGCTCTAAGAACCAAGTATGAAGTGATTTGCGCCAGTCGGTTTTTTAGTCTTAAATAAGAAAAAATTTGGTTGTGCCGGGGCATATCTACTTTGTTATGGTCGTAAACGCTGCGTTGCTGCCGACACCGCAAGAAAATGCGAATATATTTCAGTAGCTGTTTCGAGGGTCTAAATAATAATACTAATATATACTTTCGCTAAGCTAGTTCCCAATAACTACAATTTAAAAATGCCGAAAAATATAGATATATGTGCTTTTAAGAGTGAACAAAATTAAATGTCATGGTACAATGTTAGGTACAATAAATTAAATTAAATAAAATGTCTATCCCAAAATCCGTCTAAACATTAACATATAATGTACAAAAAAACAGTACTTATTTATTTTATATATTTAAGAATTAAGACTAGTACTTATAGGTACTACTTTACTAAAGGTACAATATACCTGGTATATGTACATATGTATATTACCTGTACATAATCAAATTAAGGATATCTTCCAAAATTCGTTGAAACTAGCTTTACAACAATTATTCTTCATTTCTTTACATAAACATACATTCATCTCTTATAAGGTAAACAAAAATGATTAAAACATAATTTCAATGACCATGTATTTTTTATAAGAATGTGTATATTCGTTTTCTAAATTAAAGATCCCGTATAGTCAGTGATTTCCAGGTAAAACCGCATCGCACCCGAACTGAGTTTGCAGTGTAGCGCTTGCAGACTTCGGCTGGTGCTTCGGCTGGCGCTCGGCAATGTGCTGGCCGACCAATCAATCTGCCGGCGCAACTGACGTCGTCATGGGCATAGTGCTTGGATGTATCTGTATCTGTATCTGTATCTGTATGTCCATCTGCATCTGTATCTGTATCTGCGGCTGTGCCTGCGCGCTCGAGATGAAGCTTATCTGTGGGCCTGAAAGTGATACTTCTGGTCTGGTCCTAACCTAGGTTTGTTTGGCGACTCCTTTGAGTGTCCGCTATCAGATACAACTATCTGATAGAATCGTGTCCCTATCACCGCACTTCACACACTCCAAACAAACTAAATACTCGAGTTTTGGCAAACCAGCAAACAGATGAAATCGCTGTGTCATATTTTTGAATGATTTTGCACCCATCTAAGCCGGAGAAATGCCCGTAAATACTCTGGCATGGGTAATTCCCATTATTAAGTGCGTGGGCGATTAGATTAATTTGAAGTGATTTTCTCCAGGCGACCGCAGAATTAGTATTACCTAATCAAATTGTTTTGATACGCCAGTTATGTGTGTTATCAGTTGGTGTTTTTTCTGTTTTCGGGGAACGAAATCCAAGATGCCTTTCCGCTTGACTTTCAGTTGTCGCCGGGATTTGTGCGTGCGGATTAATCAACTGACAAAAAGATAGGCTAGAAAGTGCGTAGTTCATTTGAATTGAAAGGTAGTCCATGAATTGGGCGGATATATCCTATTAGAGGTGCGTACGGTGCCTGGTACGGCATTAACCCCAGAAAGCCCATCCTTTGGTCGATCTAATTTGGGAACTCTACGATCTAGGAATACCAAAATACTTCCGACGCTATTGCGTGTTATTCATACGGATACATCCTATCGATAACCCCAGAAAGCCCATCCTTTCTAGGAATACCAAAACACTACCGACGCTATTCCGTATTATTCATTCCACTCGCATACGGAAATCCCAACAGCAAGACTTCAAGGACGTTCTTGATTTATTTATTTATGTGCAGCATCTAAACATCTTCATCTTTCCCAGCATTTCGTCTGGACCAAAATTGAATTTCAAAATGATTGTATAATTCGCAGCACTTAATAAAGTCTGGATTCGGCTCAGTCCCGCTGTCCATTCATGTGATGTGTCTACACACCGTTTAAGTTCTGAATAGACTGGTGGGTGGATGGCAGGGGGGACGTCGTCCAGACGTCGGGTGTTATGTAAAATTGCAATCGCATCAAATGCCCAGATTCATAATCTCGCTGGGGGATAAGGGGGATAAATGAAAACAAGATATATGTAGAACGCAATCAGCGCCTCTTGTCGCGAAGTTTATAAAATAATGTTTGTTTATTCGAGCGCTCGCATAGAATTTGTCCCACTTTGTGGACAATGTGGATATGTGGATATGTGGATGTCAACAACAACTGAAAAAGAGCCAGACATGTAGATATATCTAGACAATTGGAATGCCACATGAGTCAAGTCGCAGCCTTTTTTGATTTTTCATTAACTTTTCAAGGCTGCCCGTTCGCGTGGACACATAATTGGCTAACTTCTAAATGCATAATACTCAAAATCTAAATACTTCTGGTTTTCTTTTGATCTTGCGAGAACACTTATTTTCTGCTCGGTTATTTTTGAAAGCAATTTTCTGACAAATCCGTACTATGTCTCACGCTCGTGCCAATTTGTGGGGCTTAATTTTAAACGGTATCCGGCAATTGCCGCCAATGAGCAACAATTCCGATCCCCTCCAGCTGGGTGTGGGCACGTGAGGGCTCTAAAGACCAGTAGCACCACCGGCACCACTATCACCACTCTATGGCCAACACCTGTCTGAAAAACATCTGCCAACTTTAAAGTTGTTGGCTATTTACTGGATGGTTACAAGTGCCCAAACCCATTTCTACATTTAATCGATCGCAACAGTCTAAAATAAGTGTGTACAATAAACTGGTAATCACTAACGTGATTAAATCTGGTGAAATAGAGCGTAGTTATTAATGAAGATACTACGACTAATAAGCACCCTGCGGATTATTAAAGTAAGGAAAATGTAAATAAAAACCATATCTTCAAGAATGTAGAATTTTGGAGGTATCTACCATATTTTGTCGATTTAAATATTTTATATGAAATATGTAATTTAAACCTCATGAGTGTTAACTAATTTCCATAATAAATAGAGTGTTCCGTTATCAAAAGCCTTTTGAAGTTGATTTTATTGTTGCTAGTTCCTAGCCATATTTTATCGCTATGTCGTAGTACAAACACTGACTAAGCAGTTCTACAAAATATATTACCAAAGATTAAATATAGGAAAATTGAAGCACTTGGGACTGTTTAAACTAAACAAGCATCCACTAAATGCGTTTTATGCTGTCATCGGAATGCTGGAACTATTGGCTTATCGGTTTGGTATAACTATTTTTGGATTTATAGTGTGGGTTGTAAGGTTCTAATATAAACTTTATTGGGCAGTCATAGCTCAACGAATAAAACTATAAATACTATCAAAGTGTGGCGTGATTTGGCGTTCGCGATTTCTAAGAAAAGGTGTGGTATTTCCAGGAATTAGGTAATAACTAAAATTTTGGCATTGTAATTTAATTAGATGCAGTTCCAGGCACATTAAATATGCATGCACCGAAGCGAAATTATTTAACCATCAACACGTAGTTAACATAATTATCCCTCACTCCAAACTTGGGCGATTCAAGGGGGATCGGGATTCCAAGGCACCTACCTTACACAATCAACACAGACGAAGATAACACTGAGCAAAATAAAACTATCACTGGGGGAACTTCACTTTGAGATTCTATGTATAGGGATTTCTATTTATATATTTTAGTGTTTTAAGTTTTTAATTTTGTAATATGCAAAATTAGCTGTTCTTACAAAGAGGTAAAGATATGATTCATATAAAAAACGAGTCCCCAACATTCGAATTTAAGCAATCTTTTGTCATATATTAAAGATACGTGTTTTCCTTAAATTTATAATGAGCTTTAAGCAAATGTTATAGTTTGTTTTTTGGAAGAAGATCGCTCAGATTCGAATATTAGGATTACGGGTTTGCATATAAGTTGAAGTCTAGTTATCATCTTAAATAATAGTAATAATAATGGGTTTTGGGATTGAAAGCTTTGTCTTCTGTTTACATATCTTCATATATTTCCATATTAATAAATTATATTTTTTACAATTTTTTAAGATCACCGAATTAATTTTTTCTCAGTCTAAGAAGAAGCGAATGAAAGAACCCTCAATGGGCAGGGGCGAGACAGCCGGCGGTAAGGTCCGGTGGGCTGGTGCATGTCTATTAAAAACACTCGATGCTCGTCAGCCAGCGAACCAGACGTGTCAAGTCAGCACCGGCTCAGTTCCGAACCAAGAAGAAGAGGTGTTTCCAGACCCCTTCTAAGGCCCAGACATATAGCATATAGCATACAGCATGGGTGCTGGTTCTGGTGAGTTAGCCGGTGGCTGGAGGAGCGGGCACGGGCTCCGAGGGTGCTGCCATCTCTCTGGATCTTGGCCACTGGCTTTTAGCCAGTACCGAGCACCGATTGCCGGGTTGCCGGTGCAACCGCCGAATGCAGTTGTCGTTATTGTTGTCTCAGATTGCATGTGGAATGCAAAGACCAGAAGCCAATTTGTTATTGTGTTGTTTTCTGCCCTCCAGGCCGGTGCTACCGTTTATTTCCAGCCGCTTCTTCTGCTGCCGTTTCGGGTATACCCTGTCTTTTGGCTTGGTGAATCACTCTTAGGACCTGCCGTCTGTCATATATTAGTATATTCGATAATGAGGAATTTCAGGAATTCTGGGATTGCTTAGTGCTCTACATTAATTAAAACTTAACTAGTTTTATTGGCAATACAGATATTGTATAGTCTTTGATTATCAATTAAAGTTTTTCAGTAAGAACATGTTGTCAGATACGTAGGCCCCCTATCAATACTATTTTAAAGTAGGATCAGTTTATTATCAGCTTAGCGGGTTTCATGTACTATTGAAAGTGTCATTTAAGCCAGATAAGGGTGTTTGGTATTCTCCATGGAACTGCTGCCCCCAGGCCTGATTGTTATTAATTTTTGCGCATTTTCATTTTCGGTTTTAAGACTTTCGCGTGCCGTCGTTTGGCTTCTGTTGGTGTTTTGTTTGGGCCCAGCCCCTTCCAGCCAGATCCAGATCTCAGCAGACGAAGATGCAGACCGAGACCGAGACAGAGACTCCAAGACTCCGAGAGCCAGACAGCCCGTCGCAGAGACTGCGGCTGGAGGTGCTGCACAGGGAAAAATA